CAATTTCTATAGAGAAGATCAACAATTGAAATTGCAGTCTTTGAAGGACAGCAGAACATTGTAGTTGAAAGGTTGATAAGCTAGTGACTTAGGGTACGTGACATATAGAATCATAGAATCATAGAATGGTTTGGGTTGGAAAGGACCTTAAAGATCATTGAGTTCCAACCCCCTGCCATGGGCAGGGACACCCTCCCACTAGCCCAGGTTGCTCAAAGCCTCATCCAGCCTGGCCTTGAACCCCTCCAGGGATGGGGCATCCACAGCTTCTCTGGGCAACCTGGGCCAGTGCCTCAGCACCCTCACAGGAAAAAATTTCTTCCTAATGTCTAGTTAAGATCTTTCTAAACAGCTGTGCTGATTAGATAACATTAGATTATCTCTTCTAATTACACATATAAATTTAAGTTGGTCATCTTAGACTGTCTTCACAGAGACTGTGGAGAAAGAGGCGTCTCCAGAGATGTTATCTACTTCCATTTTCCACTTAAACAAGTTCAAAGAAGTTGCTATTGGACAGGCCTCTTTATTTCCATTGTCTGAGAAGGCAGCCAGAGTTCTCTAGCTGGGCATTACATAGACAAATCTTAGACATGTAAAGATAGTGGAATAAATCCCATTCTGTGTTGGGTTTGTTGGCTAAATTCCAGTACAAGTAGCACCTCTCTGACCACCCATTCCCTTTGCAGTAACAACTGTTCTCCACTTTCTCTCCTAAGCTAGATTTTTTTTTTTGTTTTTAGGATAGTTGCATATTAAAGCACTTCTGTGCTCCAGCCCCAAGTTGGCTACGTTTTACCTTTGTATGACACCCAAATACTTTGTAAGAACACTTTGAATTCCATTGGGATGAAACAGGTTGCACAAATCTTGAGTTACTGTGCTGTGGAGGAAGGACAGTAGACTGACTCATTGTGCTGATACTCGCAAGGATGTTATTGCGAATGGTCCCAGAAGTTGTTTTGTTCATACTCCTTGCTAAGTTTATTCGTAGGCTGACCAGGTCATCTTAAGATGGAGCATTGCATGCAGCCACCAAAGTACCATTAGGAAAGAGCAGTAAGCATTAACTGGTGGATTTCTAAGATGGCTCAGTAAGTCAGATGACTAAATTGTGTTTAATTTCAGTGACTTTGATCAGTGTAAGTTCTTAAAGTCTTCTCAAAACCCCAGTAAGGTGGGTAGTCCTTCATGGTTAGGATCATCATCCTGAGATTCCTATCTTTAACTGTGAGTCTGAAATATTTGTTTCTTACATTTAAACCATTCAGTCTTAGGGTCTTGCCATGACCAATTTGTGGTCTTTCTTAATGAAAACTTTATTTCTCACATTTTTCAAAAGTTCACACAGGCTCAAAAATGTGGTTTGTACCTTAAAAAGCTCAGTGGACATATTCCAAAGAAAAACAAAACAATCTTAAAAAAATAGCTCGGTGAAAAGAGTTTGCATTCCAGCGCTGTCCTGTCATACCGAGGGGCAGGAAGAGAAATGAAGTGTTTATGGGTGTCCATACCTTCCTTGTGCTCTGCTTAATGAAAAATAGTCAAAGACAAAAATAGAATTAACTGTGCACTGTCTCATGCTGCAGACTGGGAATATGAATTGAGGAAAGAATTCTGTACTCAAAAGAGAAAAATATATGTTCAGGTTAATACACTTGTAAATTTGACTCTGTAGTCAGGGAAACCCACCCACCTCCCCCTATGCTCCTTGGAGAGCTGGTCAGACATACATTAATGCTGGCTGAGATCACTGGCTTTATTAAGCAAGTCGGTAATGTTATTTCCTCGGTGATACAAATAAATAATAAGACTGGTGTACGAGAAATAGTTTCTATAGCAACTGAAGTTGCTTAAAGATTTGCTAATTCTTTGCTGCAAGATGTCAGCAGATGTTCTGGGTGGTGTGTCATCTCCCTCTTAGCCATGTTTTCCTTACACATCCAAACAATGGATAAGAGGATCGTCCATTAGAAAACTGATTTTCACAGGCACTTTTTGGACTGTTTATTTGCACAAATTTCTTGGATATCCACAATGTTAGTTTTGACTTCCAAGACTTTACAGAGAGTAGGAGACTTTGGAAGCTCCATCTATTGCTTTTCAGAGTGTTGCTCAGCATTTCAGAAGAAATTTTGATACTGGATGTCTCCTTGATATCTGCCAGAATCTGCAGTGGGGAGGCCTAAAGTGCATAAGCAGTCTGTCCCTCAAATACTCGATGTAACTCTTAGTTAGCAACACACTGGGGACAATTTAAGAGCATCTTATAAAAAAGAAATGCAGAATTTCAATAGACTGCAGTTGCTGTTGAGACATGTAATGTGGCCTCTCATATGGGGTACAGGAAAGAATTTGTCCTGTTCAAAGTCACAAAATCAATGGGAGTAGTTGTCCAGTCCCTTTTCTAGGGCTTTTTTTCCCCATTGAAGTCTTGCAAGCTGGAATTTCCCCACCTGAGCATCTAGATCTTGCTGAATTTCAAACCCTATTGGTCCCCTGGAAAATCCACACCTAAACCTCCGTGCTCAGGGTGAGAGTTGTGGTGCAGTGGGATATTGCACAGGGATCTTTTGTTGCTCCTTTCAGCACAGTAAACAAGACAAGAAGTTACTGCCTTTCTGGCCAGTATGACCAGTCATGCTTGCCTACCTAGAGAGGGCTCACCGGACTCTGACATTGCAGAGTGCGGAGTAAGTATACTTGAAAGCAATTTTTAACCCCTCTGCACTGTATTTTCTTTCAGGAGAGGAGGGGGGTCACATACAATGAGGACTGGGCGTGGTAGTACATCTCTGATGGTACACAGGTAGTAGAAAAGTACCTAGATGTCATGAGATAGATAGAAGATGCCCTCAGTCACTGGATTCAACATTAGCGGGGAAGAAAACCACCTGCCATGACATGTCCTCCCTTGTGGGTGTGCCACATCCATTCCCAGCATCACCAAAGAAGAAGCTGAAGAGAGCTGAAAGGTGCCCAGAAGAAAGGAAACAGCTGGCATGGAGCTGTGCTGTATGCAGGCAGGGATCTCTGCATACGTGGCTGTCCAAGGTGGCCATGCCCTGTTCTGCTGCTCTCTGGTGACAGGAGCAGTGACACTTCCCTCTGGGGATGACACTGCATTGCAGACCCCGTAGAAAAGTTTCCACAGCTTCTGTGTCCCTGATTCAACAAACACTCCAAGCACCTAATTTTTCATTGAAATTTTTGCAGATATAAATATTACTTTGCAAATACTAGGGATAGGATATTGGGAGACTTAACTGGAGTGAGGCATTGAGCTGAATCTGAGTTTTTTGTTTCTAAGTCATACACAGCTCTAAAATCATTCATGGAATCATAGAAATATAGAATGGTTTGCATTGGAAGGGACCTTTAAAGGGCATCTAGTCCAAAACCCCTGCAACGAGCAGGGACATCTTCAACTAGAGCAGGTTGCTCAGAGCCCTGTCCAACCTGACCTTGAATGTTTCCAGCAATGGGGAATTTACCACCTCTGGGCAACCTGTTCCGGTCTTTCACCACCCTCACTGTAAAAAATATCTTCCTTCTATCTAATCTAGATCTACCCTCTTTTAGTTTAAAAAAACATTACCCCTTGTCCTATTGGTACAGATCCTACTAAAAAGTCTGTCCCCACTGTGGTCCTTTTCTAAAAGCAAACACAGAGAATGTGAAGCAAGCATGTGAGCCTTTTTGAGACCAGAGGGTTTATAAAGCAAGAGTTTCTCATGGTAGACAAATAAAGGAGGACAATGCGTGTGCTTATCATTGTCTCCTTGCTGACAGATGTACTTGAAATGGAAAAATAATAATAATAAAAAGTTGGAGGCCCTTCCAGGAGAGCCTGACTGCCCGCACTGCGAGTGCCATGAAAAGAGCTTTTCACGGAAGGAGCCGCGGTTCTCAGATGGAGCATGTTTTATCCAGTATCAATGTCTAGTTTAAAGCAGGGGTGTCCCCTACCTCAGCTTTCAGTGGCAAAGGAGGAAAGTCTGAATGGGAGGTATGTAAAGTGATGCTGCCTCTGCACCACTTACAGCCCCAGAGAGGCTCGGGTCTCTAACACAGTGCAGCTATTTAGAGCTCTTTCACCTGCCTCCAGCCCAGAGGTTGCTAATAGTTGCATTACTCTTCCCCTATGCCTTTCCCACTGCCCCATCACATTTGTGTGAGAGAAAAGAGTACTTGTGGCCCTTTTAGATTTTATTAGCAAAGCTTTAGTGCAGCCTGGAGTCATACAAAGTGCTGAAACTGTATAGATATGGAGCAGTCCGAATACTACCTAATTGTTCGAAATTACACACTTGCCCTGGTATTACTGGATAATTATGGAAAGTTTGTAATTATTTCCTGCCTTTTGACTCTATGGGTCACTAGCTGTCACTGATTGCTGGTTTCCTGCAAAGCAACTCAGTGGAGAGAAACATGTTTCTAAAGCACAAAAATGCAGCTATGAAATCACAGTGTGAAGCAGTCAGTCCATGTGATCCTTCAAGCAGGTTTTTTTTCTCATCTCCTGGTCACCTACAGTTGAAGTGGGCACTTGATGGTGTCCCTTTAACTGATGTTCCCTTTGCAGTTAGATTTGATGTACTGCAACTTGACAGTTGCAATATCCATTGCAAAAAAGCATCTCTTTCACTTTGAAAAGCTCATTGGTAAGTATGCCACTGAAAATTTGTCATACCAATAATCCAAAGATGCATATATTAATGTATATATGTAGGTATATAGGTATACATATTAAGAAGCCCTTTGTGCCTCTTGAATAGACAGATTGTGAATACAATTTGTTCTTAGAGACTCCACATTTCTGGGTGCATGGACCTTGAGAACGATGCGATCCTTTTGGCTGTTCCTGTGATGCATTTCTCTTATGATACTTTTATCTCCGTGCTACAGACTGTAGCTGCATTGTCCTGGTAAAAGATGTATATATCGTCCTATGTTGTGGAAATATTTTTATCCATTTTTAATTACCCTTTAACTTGCAGGTACGGCATGAATTGTCTGATCCAGTTTGAAGATTTTGCCAATGCTAATGCTTTTCGTCTCCTCAATAAATACCGCAACAGATACTGCACATTCAATGATGATATTCAGGGTAAGTACTGTTAGGAAAATGCAAATTTAACCTTCACCTTGTCATGAGGAAAGGTAATTAAGTTCACAAGACTGTTTATTATACAATACTCAGATGTGTGATAAATTTTAGAGTTTACACATAAGCATTTAAAAATATAAACAAAAGCACAGCAGTCTAAGTTGAAAAGTGAGTCTCCATTGTTTTTAGAAATTTAGCTGTTCACTGGAGAAATGTTGTTCAAGGGAGAAAATGGATCATGTGCTTTAGATTATTGAGGTAATTTAGAGTTCCATTAATTTTCTATAATTTAGCTAAAACAATGATGACGTTTTAACAGTTACGCAAGGCTTTCAGTTTCCATGAGCCAGGTAGTCATTAGCAGTTCCTGGCATTGTCCCTCTGTTGTTATCCTCCTCATTACATGCACAAACAAAAAGGTAAACCAGCTCCTTTCCTCCCCATGGATGCTAACTCCACAATAATCTGAGAACAGATACGTTCTCCCATAGAGTGGTTAACATAACTCTTCCAGCACCAAAGAGAAATGACAGCAGCAAAGCTGAGGTTTTAACCAGCATGTCTCCAGGCCCCGTGAGGCTCAGCAGTCAGCAGAATTGCTAAAATGCACAGTGGGGTGCAAATTGCATATTGATGGCATCCTGGTCTGGTGCTGACTTTGCTTTAAACCATTGGAAGGGCTGTTTGCCCATCCAACAGGGACAGAATCTTCCCAAGTGATTACAAATAACCAGTTCTTCTCCTGTGAGTCCCTTCATCTTTTCTTCTTTTGTCTAGTCCTGCTTGCAACATGCAGAAATTTCCAAGGTTTGTTGATTTAATTATTTGCAGTTGGCTGGACTTATCCTCACTTGTACTTGAAACAGACTGAAAGAAATGCCAGTGTTATTTTTCACACAATGATGGTTCTTTTGTGAGCAGACTTTCCAGCACTATTTCTGCATCAGCTGCCAATCTAGCAATATTTGGCAGTGTGTGTAACAGCTTGTTCATGTCTGTCATGGCACAAGAAGGGGTAAGACCCTGGCTTGTGGGAATATGGTTGGTAATGGGATGCGTGGTCCTGCTCAAAGACATTTTCATGAAGGAGGTTTAGAAGCAGAGGAGCTTGAGGCATTTCAGAGAAGGTGAGATAGGTACTCCTGTACAAGAAGACCCATTAGGCGCCCTTGCCACCCACAAAAGCTTTCAATGGAGAGAGCAGCACTGAAAAGGAGAACACAGGAGATGCATTTTTGAATTGAAGTCTTGAATGGAGGAACCAAGAACTCATACTTTTCTGGAGATTGACAGATGAAGCCCATAATAAAAATCCAATAATTTATTTTGGATTAGTTCCTCTCTCTGCAAGTGGAAGGGGACTCAGCAGTCAAAAGGAAAAGAGGCCAGGCAAAGTGGCACATCTGTGGGCCTGGATGTAGGTTTTCTTGGGGGAACTAGAGTGAATGGGAAAGGTTTCTTGGTGAATTGGAATAGTTTCTTTGATTGACAGAGAGAAGAAAAAGAGGATATTAAAGCAAAACTGAAGATTCTGAATGGGAGGCAGGAGACTGTGGGGTTTTTTATAGTTTCTTTTTGGCCATAGGTCATAGCTGAATGTCTCAGACGGTTCCTGGAAATCACTCCCCTAGAGGGGCAAACCACATCCAGGAGGATGCTGTAAAACAGCATTGCCATAAAATGGACATTATCTGCTTCTCTCCAGATGTGTGTCACCGTTCATGGGAGATGTCAAGTCCCCTGAAAATTCTCTGGAATCTCACCTGTTAAAACAGCAGGATTTTCTCTCTTACTAGTAAACTCTCTTATCTTCTCAAGTAAAGCATCTATCTGGCACTGGTTCCACAGTAGTAGATAAGGAAAGAAATCTCGCTGATCTTTTGCACAGACAAATAATGAGTCAAGGGAAGCAAGCTGCTGTTTCAAGCTTTTTTATGTAGTTGTCAGAAAGAAAAGGGGATTCAAAGCCGGGTCAGACAAATAATGAGTCAAGGGAAGCAAGCCACTGTTTCAGGCTTTTTTATGTAGTTGCCAGAAAGAAAAGGGGATTCGAAGCCGGGCTGTAGTCAGGAATGAGTTTTGAGGACCTTTGGGAAGCTGAAGTAACTTGGATCTGCTCAGTTAACTCTATCTTGGAGTTGAAGCTGAGATGAGTAGTCTGATCTACCTACCCTAATATACCCCACTGTATCCCTGGATAATACGAGAAAGGTAGGAAGTGCCATTTTTTTAAACCCTCCTTTTCTTTGGTTTTGCCTCAGACTTTCTCTTTTCTAACACGCTGGTGTTTCATGACTCCCCTGCATAAAAAAGGGGGAGATTTCAATGCAAATTGTGTTTTAAATGATTAATGAGAATTATACAAAGCCTTGTTGAAGCTGATTCATTTTTCCTCCAGTCAGGCAGGAACAGACCTCCTGAAGCCTGAATTATCCCAGCTTCTGACCTGGCATTGTTCTAAGTATATTGATTTAAAAACACATCTTAGGCACAAGCAGTGCAAGTTAGATCAGGCCTGAGCTATACTAATTTAAACTCATTGCCCATTGGTTAGAGGGACTCTGAATGCAATCTGCACACACACACACACACACAGAGACAAGGTGTGGGAAGAAAGTATAAACTGCTCCACTTCATCTCCTTTAGGCCACCCTCTTGCTGCCCCAGGCCCTACACAAACAGAAAGAAGTTTAAAATATTAACACACACTTTATTTTTTTTTTTTTTGGTTACACAAATTGCAGTATTGCCAAATCCATCCTAACCCCACAGAATTAAAGTGACTCAAACCTCTTCCAGTCCAAGCCAGCCTGCTGATGCTGAGTGGGACACCTGCCAGGTACCTCAAACCCGGACACAGCGATTGCTCTCGTTCTCAAAGCCATCAGCCTGGAGCTGGCCGGAGCTGGCTTGCAGTGCCCACGTGTGGGAGCTCCCTGTTACGGGAGTGCTTCTCGTTTCTCTATGGGGGTGATGACATCAGGCCTTTCCCAGCTCTGTCTGGGTTCATGCAAGGGGCAACAGCATCAATTTCAGCTCTACGGGAGAAAACTGATTGTCACTTCTTCCTTTTTCCCAGTAAGGTACCACAGGAGGCGGTGAAGCACATATGGACTTGGAGGGACACGAGACTGGTTTAGATCCTGCTCTTTCTCTTCCTACTGTAACTCTGTAACTTTGCTCCACTTCATTGTGCATAAACAGAAAGTAGATAACTGAAAAGTCTTACAAAAGTGTCAAGTCTTGTGAATCCCTGAGACAGGCATCTCTGGCTTCATGCTTCATACGACAAAGTATGTAAAATCATTGAAGAGATTAGTTTGGAAGGGACCTCTGGACATCACCCAGTCCAACTCCTCACTCAATTAAAAGGTGATTTCAAACTTAGATCCAATTTTGACATTAGATCAGGGTCCTCAGACCCTTGTCCAGCCAACTAATTTTCAGTATCTACAAGGATGGATATTCACAACCTCTTGTGCTACCTGTTCCAAAGTTTTTTTCATCTTCTTTGTGCCTTTTTCCCCCTAATATCTAATTTTCCTAGATCCAACTTATGTTCATTGCCCTCATCCTTTTGCTGTGCACTTCTGAGAAGAATCTGGCTCCTTTACAAACACTAAGTAAGTAGTTGTAGGCAGAAATTAGATGCCCTCTTAGTCTTCTCCAACCTAATCACAGCCAGGCTCCTCAGTCCTCCTTGTACACCCTGGTCATGTTGATGGCCCTCCTCTGGACTTACTCCAGTTTATCAATATATTCCTTGTGCTGAGAGCCCCAAATGGGAGTCTAGATATGACCTCAAAAGTGCCGAAATAGAAAAAAATCATCACTTTCCTTGACCTGCTGTCTAGACTTCGTTGACACAGTCTGGCAGGCTGTTGGCCTTCTGTGCCACAAGGGCATATTGCTGGCTCATCTTCAACTTGTTGTCCACCAGTACCCTCAAGTCCTCTTCTGCAAAGCTGCTTTTCAGCCATCAGCCCCTACCGTGTGCTGTTGCATGAGGTTATTTCTTCTTCCCAGGCGCAGCACTTTGTATTTGCCTTTGATGACCTTCCTGAGGTTTCCCTGAGCCCATTTCCCCAGCCTGCTGAGACCCCTGTGAGTGACAGTTCTCAATCACTGTCCTCAATATCCATGAACTTGCTCAGGGTGCACTTTGTCTTATCATCCAGGTTGTTAATACAACATAAATAGTAGTGGCCTCTTTGTACCACTGACCACAAGCCTTTTTGTCCAGCAGCCCAGCCACTTTTTCACCCACCTGGTAGTCCACTTGTTCAATCTGTATTTCTCCAGTTTAGCGATGCTTTGGGAGATATTTCAAAGGCCTTATGCAGGTCAAAGAAAGCAACACCCACTGCCGTCTTCTTGTCCACATAGCCCGTTGTCTCATCACAGAAGGCAGCCAGGTTGGTCAGCCATGATTTGCCTTGGGAAATCCATGCTGTTCTCAGTCACTTTCGTGTTCCTAGACATGCCTTCCAGGAAGATTTGCTTTGTAATCCCCAGGTACTGAGGTTAGGCTGACTGACCTAAAATTCCCTGGATCCTTCATCTGGCTCTTCTTGAAGATGGGTGTGACATTTGTCTCTTTCAGTAATTGGGAATCTCCCCAGTTAGCAAAACCTTTCAAAGAATGACTTTGTCATGACATTGGCTACATGTCTCAGCATCCTCAGATGCATCTCATTGGGTCTCATGGACTTTGTCTGTTGAATAATCCCTGCTAACTAGGCAAGAGTCCATAGAAACCCTTTGCAAACCTAATGTTCTCAGCATGGGATTAGGGCTCTGGGTGCACGTCTCAGTGTCTTTGTGGTAAAGAGCCTAATTCCAACACAGCCTTCAAAGATGTGCACTGACTAACCAAAGAATCAGCAGGAGTTTGTGCCTGGGCTAAGCACAAATAGGATCAGACCCATCAACCTGTGACTGGAATTTGTTGACTTGGCTTGCTGAGCTGAAATCTTTATGCTCCAGCAGAGATCTTTCAG